GGGGAGGAGGCTGAGCAGCTGGGCCAGCAGCCTGGGAGCCGCCCCTCGTGACTAGGATCCTGGGGCGGGAGGGGGAAGGGCGCTGAGAGAGCATCCAGAGCATCCCCGAGGTGACTTTGGCTGCAGCTTTGATTGGCAGGCAGTTTCAGAGCCACTGTCACCAGTGACAGGGACCAGTCTCCGGCTTCTTCACCTGCCACAGGGAGGGGTGTGGCCTCTCTGGAGGGGTTTCTCCTAGGGAGTCCCAGCCCCAGACAAGACCCGCTCAGCACCCACCTGCCCCAGCTGTGCCCAGAGAACAGCACCACTTCCTACACGCTTCCCAGAGCAACTCTGACTCAGTTTCCCCCCGCCCCCCACGGCTGGAGCCTGGCAGGGCGGGACCACCTCTCACATACTGTGTCACCAGCCCCTTCCCCTCCTGCCATGTTGGGGCGACGGGGAGACCCCCCTTTTCACACATCCTGTTTTCCATTAATTGTTTCCAGGTGGGCCCAGAGGGCGCCCTGCAGAGGAAGGTGGGGGCACCGAAGAATTGAATTGCGCAGGGGCTCAGTGAGGAGCAAAAACAGGAAGGGGGTGGGAGCAGGCCACGGAAAATCTCCGCCAGGAAAGGGAGGCCACATCTGGTTCGCATTAGGCTGAGCTTCGAGCCTGAAGGCCGAGCGGGAGATACTGTTATCCGCGGGCGGCGGCGGGCAGCCCCTCCCAGCGGGAGGCTGACAGGAAAGAGAGGGAAGCAGGGGCGAAGGGACCGGAAAGCTCGGTCCGTAACGTGGCAGCCACTTCACAGATCGTACCTTCTGGGGTGTTCGCCGCATCTCAGGGCAGAAGGTTTCCATTTTATAGACGAGGAAACTGAGTCCCGGGGAGGTTACGTGACTTGCCCAAGGCCACGCAGCCAGGGTGTGGCAGGACTAGGATTCCAGTTCAGATGAAGGAGGGGGCGAAGCAAGCAGCCCCTCCCGCTGGGCTGAGGCTGGCCGTGAGCCCGGGAGGGGCCCCGAGGGCTGGTGATGAGCGTCCCGCCAGCCTCGCTCGCCCTGGGGTGTCCCCAGCACCATGGGGCGCTCACCATGTGTCTGAGGGCTAGAGCCCCACGCCCGCCCGCAGAGGAAGAAAGCAACTCACAGAGAAAGGCTCCCTGGAGGAGGGGCATGAGCGGAAGAGAAATTTATCAGCGGGGTGGGATGGGGTGCAAACTAGAGGAAGCAGGGTTAATGTGAGGAAAGGGAGGTGGCAGGGCCTATCTGGGCAGGAGCAGCGAGGGGGTGAGATTCCGCTGTACAGTGGGGGAAACTGAGGCACCGAGAGCCTAATGTGCCCAGAGGTTCGTAGTCTGGGGGTGGAGCTGAGTCCGGCCTGACTCCAGGCCCGCGCCCCTGACTGCTTCACTGAGCTGTCCCTTCCTGTTGGTGGTGAAAGGTTTGAAGGGGACGGGGAGGCCAGGCCAGGGGTTAGGGTTGGGAGGCAGGGGGCCATACCCAAGGCCACACCGCCAGTGGTGGAGAGAGTCGGGGCCGGCCAGGCTGCCCATGGCCCACGCGGGCAAGCAGGGAACAACCGCCTCTCTGTGGGCCTCGCTGAAGTCTGGGGCCTGGGGCAGGGGGAGGTGGCTCCCGCAGGCTTTGAGGGCTCCCCTTCCCAGGCCCAGAGCCCAGGGAGCAGGGCCCCAGCATTTTCTGGGGCCTGCGGAGCCACAGGAGTTAATAATTACGGGTCTGAGGAGATAGAGGCTCATCTAGAGGCTCCTCCCTCCCTCCCTCAGCTGCTCCGCAGAGATAGCAAAGGTTAGCGTGAGCCTGGGGGCAGGGAGAGGCTGAGCACCTGCCCGGTGTCTCCAGAGGGGCCCTCGGTCCGCCCTCCAGGCATGGACCCCCCTGAGGAGTGCACCAGGTGCCCTGCCCGCGGGAGGTGCCCCGTGTACCTGGCGGTGAGCTCAGGGACTGTTCGCTATGCCCCATCAGGTCTGGGCCCTGCGCTCGAGGGGAACGTGGGAGAGGAGCCCCGGGACACAGACAGGTAAGCCCGGCCTGGGACGGGCGGGGAAGGGGGGACCTCGCACCTCTCCAGGGGGCTGGGGAGGGTTAGACGCCAAGTTGCGGGACTGGCCGGAACTAGGAGGGACTTCACGGGCCTCTGACAAGGTCAGCGAGTGGGTGGCCCTGACTGTCTTGTCCAGCTTGGCGGTTATGCAGACGTAGAGGCTGAGGCTCAGAGAGGAGCGGACGGTCACCCCAGGCCACACGGGGGGCTGAGGACAGAGCCAGGAGCTGGGTCGTCCAGGCTGGTGGTTCCGCTCCACATCTCCCGCCCGCCAAGGGTCAGAGCTGGTGATGGGGGGCCAGGGCGGCCAGGATGTGGCAGGGAAGGGAGATCTGGGGAGGCCAGTGGCTCTATTTCTCCCACGCACCTGGGAGGCACCCCTTGTTGCCTGGCTGCGAGCAGCGGTAGCTTCCAGTGGTTTCTGGGCTGTGTTTTCAGGAAACTGGTAAAAGGGGTCTCAGCCCCTTGGCCTCTGGCTGTGTGACATCAGGCAGGTTCCTTACCCTCTCTGAGCCCATCCTTTTCGGTTGAGCAGGAGAGCTTACTGGGCTGTGGGAGAAGCTGGTGGGCCTTCGAGTCCCAGATAACTGGGTACACAGATGATGGGATATTTTGGGTTAGTAATCGGGGTGTCGATGCTCCCACAATGGTGACCCCACACTCGCCTGTTGAGGCCTCGCTCAAGCACCTCCACAGCCCACCAGTCC